TTCAGGTCAAGGAACACTGTGATCGTTGTCCGACGGTGAGTATGACGCAGCTCAAGGATCTGACGCAACGTAAAAATCTGATCAATACATCCACGACCATCCAATCCGCGCCAAACTACCTAAACATCGGCTGTCGAACACTTCTAGACTGCGAATATCTTCCACGCACAAATTTAGGGTCTCGCAACCATAGAGCAGAACTAACCGCACACTGGCGCAGTATACGCTACCTTTCAGTTTGAACGAAACATCTCGTCTGCACCAAGGGTGTTTCAGACCTGGTTAAGCTGATCGAGCCTTGGAAATGCGGGCGGTTACTTCAGTGAGTATGCTACCGTCATTTGTAACGCATCTACCCAAGTAGGTGAAACACCACACTTCAGCTAGTTGTTGGCCATCGAGCATCAGCTTCGGGGTAGACGACACCCAGTCCCTTAGCATCACTTTGCAAAGCGCATGCCGAAAGAAGTTGCAGAACTTGCTAGTCTGTCAAGTGCGCTTTACGCATCATCCGTACATTCGAAGAGGTAAACGATAGCGTCAGTGTACCCTAGATCGCACAGCCTTTCTCCAGCTGCCCATTCAATACCTACTTTTTGGAGACCACTAAGTGCATTCTCCATTATTTCGTCTACGACGAAATTGAACAGGAATGGCGAAATAGGACACCATTGACGAACACCACTCCTGGTTTCGAACGATTTACTCAGCCCACCGTAAACCCTTAGACTACCAGAAGTATGCATGTACAACAACCGCAATAGGTTTACATACTTCTGCGATATTCCTTTGCAAAGCACCGACCCCATAAGAGCTTCACGGTCAACTGAATCGAAGGCTGCTTTTAGGTCAAGGAACACTGCGATTGTTGGTCGACGATGTGTGTGACATAGAGTGAATATTTGGTCGATTCACCTGCGACCTGGTCGCAATCCGGCTTGCTGTTCCTATATATTCCTCTCCCTTATGGGTGTCAAGCGGCAAAGTATCACAGAAGTCAACACTTTTATGATTATTGGAACTAAACTAATCCCGTGGTAGTTGGCGCAGTCGTTGCGTAATCTCTTCTTGAAGATCGGGACGATCCATCGTTCACCCCAGGACAAAGAGGTATGCTCCTCAGACCAAATGCTGCGAATTGAGCTACTAATCGAGTCGACAAGAGAATCACCGCCCACCTTAAAAAGAATGGGGAGAAGCCCATCGGGTCCGGCTGCCTTCCCTTTCCTTAATGATTGAATGCAGCTTCGTACTTCCAATTCCGATGGGCTCACATGTTACTACCCATGGGGTTTCCATCGCCATAGCTGGAATGACTGTATCAGCACTGGGTCAATTGAACTGTTCACTAAAATACTGTGCCCTGCGATCAAGTCGTTGGTCTTTATTGTGGATATTTTGTCCATGTTTATGGCAAATGGTTTTACTGATCGGTATGCGACCACCTCCGGTTCAGGGCTTCAGATGAAACAGTCTGACTACTCCCTGATGCAGAGGCTATCTCCATTTCACTAGCTATTTTGGCTCACCAATTTTTGCGATCGTTCTTAAGGCTTTTCCAGAGTGGATGTTGCAGGCGCCACCGGTCCCTTTGCTGATCCTGGCAGATTGAGATATTTCGCTCTTGATCTATTAGGATTACTGACTCCTGAGAGATCCAATGTTTTCGGTGAACTTCGGGCACGATCCCACAAGCAAATTTTGCTGCTGAGTGCATCGCAAATCTAATCTGATTCTACTGTTAGTCTACTCCACTATGCTGCGGTTCTCCTAGCTCCTATCCAAGCTTCTCATAACGTGCACAAAGAGAGAGTTCGCGCAGACGATGATGAACTAACTATGGAGCCGATTTCTGTCAATGACCGATGAGTCGAGGCGTGAAGCGCATCAGAACTAGTGCGTGATCAGACTCAACACAGGGGTTCCAATAGAACCTGCAATTTTTTACTGAACCACGCCCACGGTAGCTTTCAGCTATGTGGTCAATTTTGGTCAACTTTCCGGTTGAACTAGAACACCATGTACCCCTCCGACGAGAGTTGTGTCAAAAGTTGGTGCTAGATAAAAACAACCGATGATCCGCACAGAACTGCAGTTGTCAATCATCGTTGTTTATTCGCTGATCGGGGAGAGCGAATTACCCTCCTAGACAGGCTTCGGATACGCTCAGTTTTCCAGCCTGCGCGTCAAAATCACCTACCAGCATTGTAATATCAGAGCTGCAGCTCAACTGAATGAATTCGGCGCGTTTATCGTAAATTTCGTCCTTTTGTAAAGTGGGACTGCAGTTGGTTGGTGCGTATTCGGAAATCATAAACAAACACCTCTTGGTGTTCCTGCACCTCTGAACACTAACTGAACCCTCGAGTTCCATTGAGCACAAACGACTATTGACGGGTATCCTATCTATCATAGAGGCTTCAGCTTTATCGTTTAGTACAATTCCTACACCACGCTGACCCAGTCAGCGAACTTCATCGTCTACTGATGTACGAAGGAAATACCTCGATTACAGACCCCGCGCACTCATGTGGCTTATAATACTAGGATCCTGAATTCGTATCTCCGATACGCAACAGACATCAATTTCTAAAGACTCCACTGTACCGCTAGATACGCTTGTTGACCCACCTGCATAAGAGTCCTCAAGTTGAATGCCCCCAGATTCAGAGGTTGACAAGGCTTCAGAATATGCACTTTTTTTACAGACAAACTATTTGCAGTGCTATTTGGCAACGACCTTTGGCGAATGACGACCAAGTTGTCTGAGGGAATGTTACGGGTTGGAAGACGGGGTAAAATAAGAGGTTTGGGTACGGAAGACAAAGATTTAAACAAAGGTTGGGATATCTAAGCAGTAGCTCACTTATCACCACCCACTCCGCTCAATGCAATAGGCAGCGCGATCCTGATTATCCTGCGCGACAACCGATGCAGTATAAAATTATTTTCAGTTTGTGTTTATCTGGGTAACCGGTGGTTAGAGACACTAAGTGATATGGCTGAGCGTCTTAAACGGTGGCGTTCGCACATTTTCTCAATTTCTTTGCAGCCATAGTTTACTGGAGTTCTCAATTTTCTCTTCGATTCTACCTTCAAGTTTCTTGTCTTTCTCCTATTCTTCATCCAGTCGGCAGCCAAAATCGGCGCGCGATAGTGCATGGTTAATGATTGTACAAAATGAAACTGAAATTGTGTTCATTTGGAGCTTTATGGACGGGTACTGCCTGGTTGTCCAGCCACTAGGCAAGAAAACAATTAGGGTTTTCAACCAGACTTTAGTTCTGACAAGAACCTAATCGTAAGGCAGCGGTTAAGGCGGATTGGAGGCCCATTAACTTGGATCAATTACTCCTCCAACACGTTTTGCCGACTGAGACGCCAACTCAAGTCAACCCCCCAAACGAGAGATCCAGGAGACTGGACCTCGTTTGACCTCTACCCATTGACCTTCCAGGCATGATTAGATCTTTGGCTCGACAAAAGCCATCATGTGTAGCTCGTTGAGTCACACCACGTCAAGGTGCAGTCTCGTCGTGATGCTCTCGGTCACATTCACAATGTGATTTATTCTAAATAGGTGTGAAACCACCGCACTAGTGAGTGACCTTATCGTTCCCGTTTATTGATTCGTTCGAACAAACGCCTAACCGTGCGGCCTATATACGTCGTTCCACAGGAAAACATGTGTGTACACAATGAATAAACGGAATTCGGCATTTTATCCTCAAGCCGTAAACACAACTGGATGAAACGTGAACAAGACATTGAGCTTTGTCGCATAGAAGGTCTTACTAACAGCATCAAATAGTCTCCTTTGTATCACCTCTGCAGCAATGTATATCGACTTTCTTTTGACCTCGGTCTTCATAATATCTCCACTGCACTGAATCATCTTGCTATCCGGTCGTTCCGGATAGCACTTGTGTATAAAGATAGTTCGTAAGAACCGGTACTCTTCCATTGTGTCCTGACCACGAATCTTCCTTGTTCTATCCGCTAGGCAGAGCACCGAATTCCTCTTCTTTTTACAAAAATTTTGAATGTATCATAGTCCGTGAATTTCTACCAATAGATCGGGCTTATACTAATACAGTGTAGGTTTTTCATGAATTTCTTCCTATTGTGTTTCATTTCTGTGGTCCCACGACCCTCTAGTTATCTGTTATCTACGTTGCGGTCGTGGTTTTTGTCTCTCACTTTTTCAGACTCGGTAAACATTCATCAATTCATCCATGCTTCCTCGCATTGGGTGTCAACTTTGATGAGGGACGCATATGGGGAGCAAATGATCATTGTTTAGCGTTTCTGGACGCGTGCGAGGCATTAATCAAAACATATGAAGCTCCAATGCCAGATGCGTCAGCTACCATGGCTCAGTCCTTATTTGCGAGAAATTTTGGTCCCAAGCTACAAACACACGTGGAATTCCTTGACAAATGTCGCCCTCTAGCTGTCACGATACACAATACCTATCAGTTTCTGAAGCAAACATTGAATCAGTTGGATTCTGTTGATGATTGGGAAGAAGTAAGTTAATGTGTGTTTATGCTGGACCACAGTCCTTAAGTTGGTTGACATAAAAGTGTAAATTCCAAACCCTTACTCCCAGTCGGCTTTGGTAATGTCCTGTTCCGCCACCATCCAGTTCAGTACCAGAACTCTGAATGATACCTCATATGGTTCACCTTTTCCAAATTCCAAGCAGTAAATCACTCGTTCTGTATATGTTGGTCACGTTGAAGCATATCCGTTGTGTTGTGTACTAGCACGTATCGTAATGTGATTTGTTTAGTACACATCTGAACTCAGACGCGTGTGATGTATGCACCCCGCGACAAAAGTATTGCACTCCCCCATAGATTTTTTGAATTGCCTCCTCTCCCACATGCTTGGTCATCACCATTTTTAAGGTAACCAAATTTGAAATTGAAATACGAATTTTCATCAGAGTGTATTTTATTTTTAAGAAAATATACCGAAAGAAAATTCTGATCACTGCAAAAGAATTGCACCCTCCCCCCTGGAATTTGCCCACTGAAGCCAGTTTAAAACTAGGTGCACGGGCCATTCCGTCTCAAAACTTATACACGCCTCATTATGCTATCATATCCCTGTCGATATCATTCCATTCTCTAATCTAATCAAAGGTGCCTCTAATTCAAGCTTTGCTGTATAAACTCAGGAGTGTTAGTACATCTTTCGGGTCAGAATAGCTCAAATGTTTCCTATATGGATGAAATCTGGGCTGCATGCAGTCACACCATTGGGTTGATACCGCAAAATAATAACAAACTCTTCTAGCTTCATCCAGGCAAAATTGGATTTCATCCTTAGCATGGTTTGGTTTGATTGTATGGCCAAGATATTTGAAAACTTCGGTTGATTCGACAAACTCTCCATTATTCAAGACGAATTGTGTCGTAGCAGAAGTTTCGGTCGAAAATATCTTGGTTTTTGACGTATTGATCTCTAGCCCAATGGTCTGGACAAGCTGATCAATGCGACATCATCCGCAAACTCGAGGTCTGCAACCCATGTACTTGGGCCAAGTTGCAATCCGGGGTATTCGACGAATGTTTGTCGCATTATCCAATCTACTGTGTAATGGAATATCACCGGCGATAGGAGAAAACCTTGCCTGATTCCAGAGCTCAGTGTAAACTTATTGAATTCTTCTCCATAGCGTGCCCGGGTCCCTGTAGTACGAATTTAGTAGCCTGATGAACTTCTCTGGCATCTCCTCGGACTGCAATATGCACCACAGAGATTCTCTTTCGACAGAGTCAAAGGTATCATCGTCATCTTACAGCAATAGAAAGAGAAGTGAACTTCACT